TTAACTTAGTTACAGATATTTCCCCCGCGTTATGTGCATTTACTTGTACTAACACTAACGAAGGGTAATAAATACCGCATCCGTACATTGTAGAAACTTGAGGCCACAAAGTTTAATTGGAGATAACATTATTATATCGAGACGTCACCAGATTGACCGAAGTTAGAGGGGTTAGATCAGAACCATACAGGTAGATCTCATAGACAGAAACTCCAAAATCAAAAATCAGAGATCAAAATTTACTATATCTACTTCCGTAATATATTTTGTTGATATTCTGGAATTGAAAATTCCTTACATTATTCTAAAGTAAAGATGCTTAAAAGATAAATCGAGTACTAAATTCATCACACCCTTCACCAATGTGCATCTCAGGATGACCGATTGAAAATTTACCATATTTACGTTGAATATTATCTACATGATTTTAAAGTAAAAAGTGCTTAAGTGTGAGGTTATTCCAGCTCAAAAAGAAGGGAAATTAAATAGCGATGGAAAATTGAAGTGGACTGCGTAAGTAAGTACGCTAAATACCCAATCGGGCGTCCCGAGGTATGCATTACGCCAGGGGTTGGAATAAACTGAATAAGTCGCAACCAAAGGTTAGAGATCAGGAATCAGGATCTAAACGTCGAATATTGTAAGCAAACCCCAAAGGCTAACTGTCAGAGATAAAAGCCGAAATCAACGTCTACAACGGCTGTATATCGGAAGTCAGACAACGTGGTTCGTCGTTTCGCCGTTTATGTTAATCAAAATAGTTCATAGTTCATAGTTCATAGTTCATAGTTCATAGTTCATAGTTCATAGTTCATAGTTCATAGTTCAAAGTTCACAGTTCACAGTTCACCGTTCACAGTTCATAGTTCATAGTTCATAGTTAATAGTTCATAGATTATAGATAATAGATCATAGACCACAGATTATAAATCATAGATCGTAGATCTTTGATCATAGATCATGGAACTTATATCATATATCATGGATAAGAGATCATGGATCGTAGGTCATGGACCATAGATCAGGTATCAGGGATTCCAAATCACGGATCATGGACCACGGATCATGAATCGGGCATCAGGGAGCAGGGACCACGAATCACGGAGAACGGAGCACGAATCACGAATCAGGATCATGGGTTATGGGTCATGAATCATGGATTATAAGTGATAGCTTATGTACCGTAAATTACAAATAATGGATTATTGATCATGGACCATATATCATCGATTCTAGATCATCGTTTGGAAATCATTATTCATAGGTCATAGACATTGATTACGGCAAAAATTAAAAACAAAAATCTACAAATCAGAAATAAATCAAGATCTGAGTCGGTGGTAGAGAATAGAGGTCACAGTCCGTGTTCACAGGGGTGAGATCAGAAATCAAAGTTCAGAGGCTCACGAGTTACGGACCATGGACGAATGATGGTAAATCATGGATTATAGGTCGTAGATGATTGGTAGCAGTTGTAGAGGGTCGCACCCGGACCAGTTCAAGATCGCTCGCCGCCTGGTGACCTTAGAAAATAGGTCAAGGTGGTGGCCTTGAAAATTTAGTCAAGGTGAAAATCGCGTGCCACGTGGATAGTAGCCCTGGCAAGTAGGTCCCGGTAAAGCTCAAAGGACAAGCTGTATTTATCGAAGTTATTTTTTTGGGGTGTCAAATTAGATTTTTAAGGCATACAAGATCAATGTCTTCATTTTTGCGGTGTCAAATTACTTGTCCGGAGTCACCTAAGGTCAACAACCTCAATATTTATTTGATCCATGGTCAATGGTGTTGTCAAATTTTCGAGGTTATCCAACTGACCTCATTGTTATGTGGTGTCTAATTACATTCCCAACGTTATTCAAGGTCAATGGACCCATTCCTTGAGGTGTCAATTGCCTCAAGGTTAATAAAACCAATTTTTCGGTATCAAGTTACATTTCCAAAGCCAACCAAGAACTATATGACGTATAATTACATTCTGTGCCCATTTTTTTGGTGGTAAGTTACATTTTCAAGGGCATACAAGGTCAACGGCTTCATTTTTGGGGTGTCAAATTACATTTTCAAGGTCATACAAGGTTAATTCCCTCAATTTATGGGGTGACGAATTACATTATTGGTGGTCGTCTAATTTCACTTTCAAGGTCAATATTTTAATTCTTGTAGTGCCATAATTCATTTTCGATGTTTTTGCTGTTACATTCCATTTTCAAGGTCATCAAAGGTGGTGTTAAATTTCAATGTAAAGTTATGCTACATTTTATTCCACATGTCCGCTGATGGTTAATGATCCCAGTTTTGTAATGCCATCTATTTTTATTCTCGAGGTCATCAGAGTTCAATGACCTCATTCTTTTTCAAATCTTATTTTATTTTCAAGGTTATCAGAGGCCAATGACCTCACAACGTCAAAGTACATAGATTGTCGACCTGTCAAACTTATTTCCATCGCTTGTAGTTTATTAAAGGATTACATGGGGCCATTGCCCTTCGATAACCTTGAAAAAATTAAAAGATTACATGGGGCCATTGCCGGTTAACCTTGAAAAAGTGTAATTAGACGCCGAATATAAATGGGAACAGTAACTTTAAGGGCACTTGAAAATGTCATTTGAAACCGCAAAAATGGGTTCATTGACCTTGGATGACCTTCAGTGTAATTAAGCTACATAAAAAGAGGTCATTGTCCTTGAATTGCCTCCAATATGAAATTTGAGACTGCAAAAGTGGGTCAAAATTGGCCTTATATGCCTTTGAAGGTTGCTCGGTAATTGGTGGTGTCCTTGAAAGGTCAAGGCCACGTGGAGGTGACCTTGGAAATTAGGTCAAGATGACTAATTTCATGTGAGCGGTGAGCTTGGAAATTAGGACAAGGTGAAAGTCGCATGCCACGTGGGCGATGATCTTGTAAATTAGGACAACAATCGCTATTGTGTTAAACTGCATTTTCAAGGGCATACAAGGTCAATGGTCCAATTTTGAAGGTGTCAAATTACATGTTCGAGGTCATCCAAGATATTTTCAATAGCATACAAAATCAATGACTGCATCCTTTTATTGGCCACATAACTTTTCAAGGTCACCCGTGGTTATTGACTCTTTTTGTAACATGCGGTCATTGACCCCATTTGTGGGGTGTCAAATTACATTTTCAATGTCATCCGAGGTCCTTGAATCCATCAATTTTGAAAGTCATCCTAACTCATTGTCTCCATTTTTTGGGGTATCAAATTACATTTTCAATGTCTTCCGGGGTCATTGACCCACTTAAATTTTCAAGGTCATTTGTAGTCGTTGGCCTCCGTTTTGTCGCGATGTCAAATTACATTTTCAAGGTCATCCGAGGTCATTGACCCAATAAATTTTCAGTCATCCGATGGCATTGACTTTATTTTTTGTGGTGTCAAATTACATTTTCGACGTCATTAACCCCATAAATGTTCAAGGCCATCCGAGGTCATTGCCTCCATAGAATTTCAAGGTCATCCGAGGTAATTGTGCTCTGTCAGTAACCTTGCGGTGACCTTAGACAGTAGATCAAGATAAACCCCAAAGAGCACTCGCTTTTCGTTCTTTCCTGGTAGTAACCTTTAGGGTATCGATCAAAGGTCACTTCACGTTTCCTTATAAACTAGTTCAAGGGCAGATTATTAGGATATTATAAAGCACGTCGGTGTACATGATAGCATTTCAAAGAAGGAGACCGTAAATTTATAGGTTCAAGGATCTCGGATGACATTAAAAATGTAATTTGACACCCCAAAAATGGGGTCAATGACTTCGGGTTACAAAAAAAAACCAATGACCACGGGCGACCTTGAAAATTTATGTGGTCAATAAAGAGATGCGGTGATTAACTTTGTATGACATTGAAAATACCTTGAATGACCTCGAACATGTAATTTGACACTTCAAATTGACCTTATATGGCCCTGAAAATGCAATTTAACACAACAGCGATTGTTGTTCTAATTTTCAAAGTAACCGCCTACGTAGCACGCGATTTTCACCTTGACCTAACTTACAAGGTCGCATGCGACTTTTACCTTGGCCTAATTTGCAAGGTCACCGGCCACATGGCACTTAAATTTCACCTTGGTCTAATTTCCAAGGTTACCACGTGACCTTGGCATTCTTTCCAAGGTCACCACTAGGGGGCGCGCGACCTTGAACTGAGCCAGGATCGGACTTGTATACCTACTAGTAACCATCAGGTCAATGGCCTTGGATCACATCGAGAATGTAATTAGTCGCCACAAAAATATAAGGTGATTGCTCTTCTATGACCTTGAAATTGTAATTTGATACCAAAAAATGGGTACATTGTCCTCGGATGACCTCGAAAATGTAATTCGACAGTTATGTCAACATGGTTAAGTAGAAGGTGTTGGTAATATATCATTGGTAGAATTTTACGGATGTAACAGCATTAGAAACATCTATAAAGGCGACGATAGGTTTTACTACAAGAGCACAAGCCTACTATTGCCATTTACTTCCCTTCCTTCGTGGATTGTGGGTCGTCTCAGTGTTTAAAAATGTCACAAATTGGGGATGGTATAGACCACATGACTACTTCATACGTTATCAATTATTACGAAATCAAGGCATCAATTATCAGACAAATCAGAAGATTCATTCTAAGATTCTAAGATTGACAATGTAGAAGTTCAACGACAATATTTTAAAATATATCAACCGTACAGATTTGTAACATCAAACTATATGGTCATTTTTATTTAAGCATTCTCGCAGTTACCTACTCGCTTTATTTAAATTTCACGATTTCAATCAATTCGACCGTCACCCACGGCTGACCTGGTTTTCGCGCACAACCCACCCTACTATTTTTTATGTATAACGTTACACCTTAAGTACCGAAATTACCGAATGAGTAAAATTTTTAAACAAAGCGAGTTTTCCGCTTTTACGAGATACCGCAGCGGGGTACAGATATGTCCGTTAATTAATGACGGTTCTACAAACAATTGAAAAAAACAACAATGAGCGGTATGTAAAACAAACGGCCGCGGGGTGACCCAATTAAAATTCATACAAAGGCGATTAAATTGGCAAAAGCGCGTCCGTCCGTTTGCATCATTAATTTCTCACGTTCCACCTCTTTTCTCGTTTCAGGCTCGTCGGTGCTGGTTTGGCGCAAGGGATCAAACCTGATAAGCGCCGGACACCACCTCATCACCAGCGACAGGCGCTTCCTGCTGCAATCGTTCAATCTTCAGCTGCGAGGCGCCAAGATTACCGATCAGGGCGACTATACCTGCCAAATCGGCGACGGCTCGCTGGGCGATTTAATACACACGGTGGAAATTCTGAGTAAGTTTTCTTGCGGCACAAAGGAAGGCACGCAGAAAGAGAATTCGAATTATTTCCTTGTAAAAAACGAGGTAGAATTTTGACGTTAAATGCAAATAATATACGAACTTTCTTCCAAGTTTTATTTCCCCGGTGATCAAAGCGAGTTTTCAAAGCAAGTGGTCCCGTTTGAGTGCTTTGTTCTGACACATTTTGTGGTTGAATTAAATTTAAAATGGAAATGAGCGTATAGTTTTCTATTTAAATTATTGGAAAAGGCTCCACGACGCTCCTCCTTAATTTACGTCCGACGAGTGTGTGCGTTAAAAAGGAGCCAATTAAAGTAAACGCGCCAGAGCTCCCGCTTTGTAAACGGCGAAAAAATAATATTCCGTTAATGAGTAAAAAGATGAAACTCTTTTAAATGAGTATTACTTTGTATCGAGTTCGAGCGGAATTTTCTTTTCAAAGCGATTGCCCCGGGTGGCTGAGAGACATTTTCAAATAATTTGACTAATTAAGAGTTTCGAATTCGAGCCATCTGACGTTTTAATGAATACGTCACCTCAATTTTATTATTGGTCTGCCTTAGTACTGCGGAATTCATAAACTTTTCTTATTATAAACTTTTGCCAATTAAGTCGCTTTAAACTGTAATTATTTTCGCCAACAACATAATACAGTTGTTAATTGTGTGCCTTTGTAGCTTTTGACATGGTATATGTCGGTGGAGACTTTCCACACTGATCGGAACTCGTACTGGAGATTTATTTAACCTAAGAAATTGTATCTAAGCATTGTGACACTCTTCGCCAATTTGCACCTCAGGATGACTGATTAGAAATTTGCCATATTTGTGTACGTATACTTAAAAAAAGTTAAGTCGGGCAGAAAGTGGTCATAGCTGAAAGAAAATGGGGAAAATAATTCGCGATGAAAATTTTAAGTGTATTATGTAAGTAAGTACGCTAAATTCCTGATCGGTCAACCCAACGTCTTGATTGCGGAAAGGTGTAAGAATAAACTGGATTGATTTAAGCACTTTACAACTTTTGCAAAGTTAAGTTTAATTACATTCTTAAGGTCATTCAAGGTTAATGAACCCATTTCTTGCGGTGTCAATTTTACTCAGGGTTAGTAAAACCATTTTTTCGGTATCAAGTTACATTGCCAACGTCAACCAAGGTCTATATAACGTATAATTATATTCTGTATCCATCTTTGGGCGGTAAGTTACATTTTCAAGGGCATACAAGGTCAATGGTTCCTTTCTTTGCTGTGTCAAACTACATGCTCTAGGTCATCCAATGTGAATTACTTTTTATGCGGTGTCTAATTACACTTAAGGACATCTAAGGTCAATGAAGCCTTTTTGCAATGTCAAATTACATTTTAAAGGTCAACGGTTTCATTTTTGAAGTGTCAAATTACATGTTTGATGTCATCCAAGATGAATGACCTCATTTTTATGCGGTATCTAATTACATTTAAGGTCAGCCAATATCAGCGGTGCCATTTTTGGGGTATCAAATTTCATTTTCAAGGTCATACAAGGTTAATACCCTCATTTTTATGGGGTGTCTAATTACATTATCGTGGTCGTCTAATTTCACTTTCAAGGTCAATAATTTCATTCTTGCGGTGCCATGATTCATTTTCAATGTTTTTGCTGTTAGATTCCATTTTCAAGGTCATCAAAGGCGGTGTTTTTTATTTTCAAGGTCATCAGAGTTCAATGACCTCAGTCTTTCAAATCTTATTTTGTTTTCAAGGTCAATGGATATGGTATCATATTTCATTTTCAAGGTTATCAGAGGCCAATGGCCTCACAACGTCAAAGTCCTTAGATTGTCGATCTGTCAAAGTAATTTCCATCGCTATTGAACTCGCTTGTAGTTTATTAAAAGATTACAGCTTCGAATTCGAACCATCTGACGTTTTAATGAATACGTTACATCAATTTTATTATTGCTCTGCCTTAGTACTGCGGAATTCATAAACTTTTCTTATTATAAACTTTTGCCAATTAAGTCGCTTTAAGCTGTAATTATTTTCGCCAACAACATAATATAGTTGTTAATTGTGTGCCTTTGCAGCTTTTGGCATGGCATATGTCGGTGGAGACTTTCCACACTGATCGAAACTTGTACCTTTACTGGAGATTTATTCAACCAAAGAAGTTGTATCATTGTGACACCCTTCGCCAATTTGCACCTCAGGGTGACTGGTTAGAAATTTACCATATTTATTTACGTATACTTAAAAATTAAGTCGAAAGTGATCAAAGCTCAAAGTAAGAATTCGCGATGGAAATTTTAAGTGTATTATGTAAATAAGTACGCTAAATTCCTGATCGGCCAACCCGAAGTCTGCATTGCGGAAAGGTGTAAGAATAAACTGGATTGATTTAAGCACTTTACAACATTTTCAAAGTTAAGTTTAATTACTTTCGTTAAATTCGTAGGTCATCCCATTTACATTCTTTGAAAAACTGATAGGTAAAAGAAAGAAATAAAAGTTCGAAACGTAATCTGATCATCGGTCTAACGACACTTTTAAAACTAAAGTTTGGTAGTAAGTTACCGTACGTAATAAACGCAACTTTACATTATAGGTAACATGTTCATCCAAATTTTATTGAAATTGAAACCGTTACAGTACTGACTGAAAACAAATTGATTACATATTGTTCTAGAATAAGCCCAATTTAAATTCGATTTAGGCCATCTATACACGACAATATCACATGTAATTTATCAAAAAAATATGACAGGAGGCTTAGATTGGACGAGCTACGTTAGTTTCTTTTACTCGGTAGCTGTCTCAACATGATTCTGGATTTTAGTCGCACTTTAATTGCATTGTTAATTGTGTACAGTTTCGGAGAGGCGAGTGAGGAGTCCGGGGTAATCACGAAACTTCGAGCGTGTGTCGCAAGCGTCGCGGAGCAGTTACTTTTCAACTCATCTACAGCCTACGTAATTCTAGGCAATGACTACTGTCATCACGACTTATTACACCAGATTGCAATTCCTCACGTTGTAATTGATGTAAGCAGACCCATAAGTTCCTCTGTCGCTTTGGAGAAAGGTACCAATTTTTTAATTGTGGCAAGCGACGAGGAGTCATTGGAAAGCACAGTCGCCGAATTGCAAAGGAGCAAAGTATGGCATCCGTATGACTCACCCATCGGAAAATTTCTAGCTGTGGTCGAATCAGAAAATTGCACTTCAGCGTTCAAGATCTTTTGGAATCATAATATTGTCAATGTAATCATTATTGGGCGAGAAGGTGACGACTATCATGTGTACTCGAGCGATCCTTATTTTGCAAAGAACGACTGTGGGAGTTGCGTCGAAGAGTATAAGAAGCGAAGCTGTTCTTCACCCACGAAAGTATCGCTGCCGAAGCCAATACGCAATATGAATTGCTGTCCGGTTGTTGTGCAAGGTTTTGCGTTCGATGGATCGTTTATGCAGCACTTTGAATGGGAACTGAGAAACTACTTAAACATTACTTACACAATTGAAGAAATGCGAAGGTGCGATTCAAACAAAGTGAGGAATGCTCACAAGGTTTTTGGAAGGTATCATACATTAAATGTAACGATGCAAAGTCTCACTAATAGCATCAGCATATACAGCTTCTTCTTGGTATGGATTGTCCCTCCACAAAAAGAACTGTTGACGTTTAACCTCATAGGTTCTACGTTCCAGTACCCAGTATGGCTCATGGTTTTGTTTATTCTGACAGTATCAACCTTAAGCTGGGCGTATGCTCGAGGAAAATGCAACTTAATCGACGCTTCTACAGTAGTTTTTGCTTTAACCACCTGCGCATGCGTAAACAGAGTACCCAAGCGGCTGAGTCTGCGTGCCATACTTCTATCGTACCTGCTTTACATCGTCGTAATCCACACCGCGTTTAAGGCTAACCTGCTCTACGTGTTGACGTCAGAGTCCGTGCCCAAAATTGAAACGGTCCAGGATGTCGCAAATTCGGCATTTTCAGTTTGCACACACCCTCCCATTAAAAGCGCGTTTTTCTCTGAAGACGACCCGAGTGACGAAATCTACACCAAAATCAAAAACAAAATGGAAGTTATACTAAACCCATCATACGAAGAGATGAGCCGAAAAGATTGCATTTTCTTAGTGCATCCGCTCGTATTCAAGACTTATTTCGGAGGCTCGCCCAGAGTTACGGCCTTTCCCGAAGATCGATACATTAAGAAGATACATCTATCCTTGTCCCTGGACGAACCGCATCATTTTATGTCATCTGTGAACGCTGTAATACAAACATTAGAGCAGTCGGGTGTCTTAGAAAAACCTTGGAAACTTTTGGAGTATGATTTTTTTCGTTTGAATAAACGGTTGGAGAAACCACACGCTGCCCCGCTGACAATGGCACATCTACTCGAAGTTTTTGTTATCTTCGCCATTGGTATGGCACTATCCATAATTGCGTTCCTTTCAGAGCGAGTAGTCCGTAAGGTAAAAAAAATGGATGCGGATCTTGTGCGCTAGGTATTTACATCCAAATTAGACTTTACGCACCGAATATAAGCAACTATTGCACTCATATGTTCACCATTTGCTCAAATAAATGAATGTTATTCACAATACAGCGGTACTTAATTGATCCCCATACCATATAGGTGAATTAAGAGTTTGATAGGTAGGGTGGGTTTCCTATTGGTCATCCTAAAATCTCCGTAGGGTGGAAGTGTAAGTATACACCACAATGGAACGATTCAAGATTACATTATGTAACTAATGTTTGGCAAAAGGCAAATGCTACCTCAAGTTTTACCCTTCAACGATCAATTTTTCGTTAATGGGGCAATAAGAAATTGTGGAGGAAGAGACCATTAGTGACCGCAAGCTTTCGGAACCCACCGAGCGCCGCTAGAACGAGACGGAACAAGTGCATTAGTCCGTAAAGATCGACGACCATTAATAGGAACTGAAACAATGCATAAGAAACGCCAAAATGGAGGGACACAAACTACGATATTG